GCCGACCTTGAAAACCGACGCTGCCATATGGGTTCGCAAATGCCCGAAATGCCAAGTGTTCGCACCTAATGTCCATCAATCTCCCGAAGAGCTCAAATCGATCTACAGTCCTTGGCCTTTTGCCAAATGGGGGATTGATCTCATAGGTCCTCTACCAACCGGAAAAGGAGGCGTCCGATTTGCCATCGTAGCCGTTGATTAATTCACCAAGTGGGCTGAAGCCGAACCGTTAGTCACGATAACCGAACAAAAAGTTGTTGATTTTATATGGAAATCGCTCATCTGCCGTTTCGGAGTCCCGAACTCCATCATTACCGACAACGGTCGGCAATTTGAAGGCAAGCAACTCGAGTCCTTATGCGAAGAATATAACATCAAACACTTCTTCTCATCGCCTTACCACCCTCAGTCCAACGGTCAAGTGGAAGCGGTAAATAAGCTCATTAAAAACGACCTTAAAGTCCGACTTGACGCTTCCAAGGGAGCTTGGCCGGAAGAACTACCACATGTCCTGTGGGCTTACCGAACTACCCCTCGAACTTCTACCGGTGAGACCCCATTTTCCTTAACTTATAGCTCAGAAGCCGTGGTCCCAGTCGAGCTCGGAGAACCGACGTACCGAGTTCAACATTTCACTGAAGAGGCCAACTTGAAAAACATAAAGGCTAATCTGGACCTGCTTGAAGAACATCGTACCCGGGCCGAACTCAGGAATGCCGCTTACAAACAAAGAAGTGGGAGATATATCAATTCTAAACTCAAACCTCGTTCATTCCGAGTTGGAGATTTGGTCCTCAAACGCATAATGGGGCCTGACCCCGGACCACTCAAACCGAAGTGGGAGAGGCCTTACCAAATCACTGAGGTATTACCCCATGGAGCATATCGGATTGCTCACCCCGACGGGACACCTCATCAATACCCCTGGAATGCTGTGTTCTTGAAAAAGTTCTATCAGTGAATGGTCCGAAGTCGGATAGCCGACCTTTCTTTTGCACGGACCTTCTTTTTGCCTCGGTGAATGTACGAAGTAACCCTTTTGATGTATTGAAGGCCTGTCGGCTTTCTCTTTTGAAAATCCGAGCAGCAGCTCGATACCGATGTAAACATTTTGAAGTTCAGTTCTACAAATCTTTTGTACCGATGTAAGCATTGCGACACTCGGTCTCGCTGACACCCCATAATATATTCGAACTCCACACATGTTTCGGATAGGGGCGACGCACGTCAAACGTCATTTCAACACGCATGATTTGACGGGTCCCGAATATTACCGAAAACAAAACACATAAACCGGTTGGGGCCATTCCATAATCGGACTCTGACGAAGTTCGGTGACCTCTATTTTATTTCCCGTACAACCCTAAAAATGTGTTAAGTTTCGCGAGTTATTTGAAAACTCGCATATCGACTTGCACTTGTGGCTGAGATTATTACAAAAAAACAAAGTGGAATTCGGAAATTATTTTTACAAAAACCTTACAACTCGGTTACTGATATAAATAAATCCGAGTTGA